TTATACTATATGTTCAAACTGAAAACTTAATGTAGGACGGAGTCCTCAAACTGATATTTGGGCAATTATATAAAATTTGTTAGTGTTTAATTGAACATTATGTAGTTAATTAAAAATCCCCCATAGCAGCTATAATATTATATAATGCCGTTCGTGCGTCACTTTTTTCAAAAACACTTAAAACTTCCATTGCCCTTTGAGAATGTCTTTTTTGTAACTGCTTCGTTAATTCAATCCCAGGTCCCATTGTGACTATTTGGTAGACCTGCTCAATAAGAATTCCTTAGTTTCAATTTCATTACAAACAGATAAATTATGTGAATGCATATATTTAATGTGTTTACCTTGGCATAGTCTACATCATTTATCGATTCCAAACCCTTATCGATTTCAATCAAAATCGATGGGTCGTGTTCAATGTGAAACATAATTGGAGCAGAACATAAGTTGCACGTTACGTTCCTGTCTTTTGTAATAAACGGACTTAAATCCAAACAAGCTTGCCAAGCTAATGCCAAGTGTTTTCCAAAATTGTAACCATGCTCCTGTATCTCATCACCGTGACCGGCTAACTTTAACGTGCCTTTACATGACTTTCCTAACAAGGCTCCGGCACTTAGAACATTCCTGAGAGTCCATTCGTTCACAGCGTAATCTGTTCGATCTTCTGGTGGTACTGAAGGTAAAGGGTTATTTTGGTTGTCTCTTCGTCCAATAAACTCTGCTTCCGCTAAATCTCGTACTGCACTTGACATCAATTCTACAATCTGAGTAAATTAAGAAAATCAGTATAATCAGAGAACGTGAATCATGAAACAATATGTAATTCTTATACGTACATCTTGATTTCTAAGATTTGCCAATTCAGCGCAAGAATTAGCTAATAAATAATCTCCGCTTAGGAGTGCAATCTTATTGCCAAAATTCATGTCATTCAATTCTGATGTTTCTAAATAATCACCAGATTCTATGTTCACCAATCCTTTATGGACAAGGTGACTAGTACGTATCATTTCAGTTACTTCTGCTAAAGCTCTTTGACTAAATTAAGATGAGAATATATATCAGCAAGATATTAATTTTAACATCCTTGAAATCTCTCAGAAATAAAGATAATTACAATACCTGTGAAGCACACCTGCTGCCTTATCTTCTTCCATATCGTCTACATTCAAATGACCAGCAGCTTTTGAAATTAATAATACAATAAGACCCCATGCTTGCATGTTGTTTCGTCCATTATAAATAACACTTCTACAAAGGAGATGAAAATTAATGTGAGTTTAAGAGGAATACCATATAAAAATTTACTTACTTGGCTGTTTTTAACAAGGGATGATTGGACCCTACTAGTTTCCTCAAATGCAGTGCTACATTTGCTATTTCATCACTTAAAAGCCAACGCAAGCTTAAAAAAGATGTTGGATAACCAACGATCTTCTCAGCTTCTGACACAGCTCTGTTCCAATCTGGCTTTTGATTTCCTGTAAGCCTTGCTTCAACCTTGTTGACTTCGTGTACACGGAATCCATTTGCCACACAAGTATGCACAGTTCTTTGCTTGCAATACACATTGTAATCGCTGGACAAGACAGCTCTTTTGGCTATATTTCCGTTTTTCTTTAACAAGTTAAACATAACTTTACTCATAGACATTTTCGTAATGAAGATACCCGTGGAATTCGTTTTCCCTCGACATTAACATTAGTCACATATTCAACAGGTATAACGCACATGATTAACGTGCCAAGCTTTCACTTTTGACCTGATTCCTTGTCAATACCATGCAATAAAACTTTTGGTAAGAACAGTCCGATCATTTCCAATAGTGGAAAATTACTATGCTGCTATACGTTTTTTATACTGTTGCATTGCGCTGCATACCTCCGCGTGCCATGTATTCAAATTGAATTCATTCATTTAAATAAAACACGTGCGAAATATTTTATAAAAATAGATTGGTGTGCAACTGTGCACTTATGTATACATATTGACATATATGCATATATTTGTCACACATTGTCATATTGTCAGTCGTCGATTGTGATGACTGTGACTGTGATCGTGATGTTGATCTCTGTTTACTCCTATATGTTTAGTTACAGTTACAGTTACAGCTTACTACACATATATACGTAGTGCAGTGAACCAATAAGAGTAAACCATGGTTTATGTTCATGCATGAGCGAACTTGAGGGAATGACAAGCATAGGGAATTCGATTTTAACAAATTCGTAATGAAATTCTCTATATCCGGTCGCTCTCAAACGATATAAATCGAAAACAGGGAAAATTTCTTTCCGATAAAAGGCTTGCTCAAAAACGTCAAGTATGTTAGGTTCCACAGAATATCTATTTTAATCGCCTAAGATTCTAAATTATACGAAAAAGTAGAAGGTTTGTTAAACTTTCCAGTTTCTTGCACATTGAGGAATTTATATATGATTTGGACATTCTTAAATATTGTGAGATGAATATTATTGACATGGAACTAACCTAAATGAATGTTTGTCTTTGTTTTATTGTTAACACAAAGTTACAAATTATACAGTTACCGTTATTGTAAAGATTTCCCAAAAATCTAACTTTTTTGTGTGAAAATGGAAATATTGAAATTGTCTGTACAAGAAGCGTAGCAAGGATTAATACTGTTGATAACCTACAAATCCTTGTTCTCTATAACTTTTATTTGAAATCATAAACTATTACCCTTCTACATTTTTAAGAAAAAAATTATTTTAATAATAATAGCTAATTTTTAATCACTTATTGTCTGTAGAATGTTGATGCCAAAAAAAAATCGTGTGGCAATTTATGAATACCTTTTCAAAGAAGGTGTTATGGTCGCAAAGAAAGATTATCATGCACCAAAACACCCAGAATTGGAAGCAATTCCCAATCTCCAAGTTATTAAAGCAATGCAGGTAATTACCAAATATGATTTAATATCTTTGTCCTTGTATTATTTGATTTGTTCTATTATTGAAGTGAAATTTTTATTTTTATAGTCTTTGAAGTCTAGAGGACATGTCAAAGAACAATTTGCTTGGAGACATTTCTACTGGTATTTGACAAATGAAGGCATCGAATATTTACGTGGATATCTGCACCTACCACCTGAAATTGTACCTTCCACACTGAAGAGGCAGACGAGATCAGAAACGACAAGACCAAGGGCACCAACAGGTGCAAGAAGCGAAGCATCAAGACCCACGGAAGATCGTGCTGGATATAGGCGAGGCCCTGGAGGACCTGGAGGTCCAGGTGACAAAAAAGCCGATGTCGGCGCTGGTACCGGTGACGTTGAATTCCGTGGTGGTTTTGGCCGTGGTAAACCACAATAATATTTAAGTATATAACATTAAGTTAAATAAATAAAAACATTTCGTAATACACACTTGGTGTTATAATTATCCTAATTTTACAAATTTCTTGAATGTCAAATCAAGAGATTATTATAAAACCACGTGCTATACAAGTAATGCAAGTATAACATTATTGTTC